TAAATGTGTGTAAAGGAAAGATTTAGTGTTTTATGATGTTAGTGAGTTGATGATTGCTGTTATGTTTTAGATGATGAAGCTGGAACAACAGGATGATTTATGATTACTAACCATTTATTGTCATGCTACTAATTTTTATTTTTATTTTCCAATAAATATTTTTCAAACATGTTTTGTATAATACTGCAGAGTTTTAGGGAAACGATCTTAGATCTTTTTATCAATCGTTATTGTATAATATTAATTTTGTTTAGCGCCTTAAATGATTTTGAAGAGTAACTTCAAGGTTTTATGTTTGCAAATGGAAATCTAAATTCATTGCAAGTAGTATTCGAAATATAAAAGTTTGTTCTGGCTTTTGCCGAACTATCATATAACTATACGGCAAGTTTCTACTTTGTCGTATGTCGTCTTTGGTTCGAGGTCTTCTTCCAATTCCGGGTAGTTCTATTATGGTTCGGAATATTGGCTCTGATCTATTGAGTCGGAGAGACATTTCAATTAAATTATTGTCGTATAACATTTTGTAAATGTTTTTGTCTAATTTCTAATCTATTTTTGGTTAATTCTAATCTAGTAAGGTCTTGTTCGAGACTTATGGTCGCACCAGATGAGTTAGAACTGGTTTGTATAACTCATAGAGTAATTTCGGATAGGGTACACCGTCTGCTCGTCACGCTATCTTATTTTCGGCCGGATAGATTCGTGCAACTTCTTAGTCTAATACCGATCCTAATCTTACTCTTATACTATCTAGTCTCAGGTTGTTTAACTAGTCTCTGCTAGGCTCAATAGATCTAGGGTATACTGGTTTATTGCGGCTGCTGAAGTGCTCGGGAGAGTCCAACTAATTTCTAAGTTAAATTCAAATCTCTCTGGTGCTGAAATTACAAGTAACTTCAGCACTTACGAATAAGTGGGTTGTTAGTTAGATGGATCATGATTGGTTAATATTAAATACTTTACATTGGTAAAACATTTAATTTATCCAATCATAAAATATAGTTTAGATCAGGTTCCACTATATTCAATATGTATCACTAGGAGTTTTAAGTCTTAAATATTTTGTTGATACGACAGCCTAAATTTTTTGGAAGCAGAGTCTGCTCATGAATATGTATCTGTAATTTGTCTATGTTTTTCATGAGAATATTGACATTTTAAATTGAAATAAAGCATTTAAACAATTTTCAGGTGGAATGTCCAATGAACACTAAGTTTACTTCTGTAGCTTTTGCTCCCGTGATGAAAAAGGTTTCACCAGGATGATAAACAAGACAGAATGAACGTGAGACCAGAGCTAAGACCTCTTATGTTTAACTCAACGGTTTTGCAGAGTCCATTTATGTTTCGTATGCACCATTTCTGACAGAAAATTTCAAAATTTTTCAGTTCAATGCTTAATATTTATTTTTTTTCTTGCGCTGTTTTTTCAATTTTTAGCTCAAATATTAGGCTTCTTAGGCAATGTTTCAAATGAAATCAAATTTCTAAAAAAAATTGAATCCAATGCTAACAATGCAGCTATGAGAGTGCTTAAAATTTGGGTTTGAAAATGAAATAATTTCAAGTATTGGTCACCAAAAGAACAAAGAACGTTGAAAATCACGGATCATTTTTTTATGTAGCAATCGCCGAAACTTCCTTTCATGGCGAAGGTGAAATTAAATTTGATAGCCTAAGGCTCAAAGCCAGGCACACTAATCACGTGCGTTCGGAATCAATCTACTTCTGGTTCAGGAACACCAAATTAGTTGTATCAAAAAACGTAATTTTTGTTTAAAAACGGTTTTGTTACACTTTATGGAGCAATTTATAAACATAACCCTCCACATATTTGGAAAATAACGTAGAAGTACGGACTAAACTGTCAATTCAGGGCATAACAATTAAGAATCGGATTATATGACACCTCCAATTTCGTGTCTAACATGTTTCGAGCTTGAATTGATAAAATGGCGTCGCCACAAACAGTATTGTTACCGATGAAAAGGTTAACTTAGGTCCTCCAGAGTTTATATGATAATGGAACCACGGTCTAAAAATATTGATTTCCTTGTTTTTTTTACCTTCCCAGTGGCTTCTGAGTCAGATTCATACTCAAAATCAAAGTTCAATAGCTTGAGACATATTCAGTTTTTCCCGCCGTTTTTCCGCCCAAACTCAACTGAAAATGGAATTTTGGATTTCAAAATTTGTCTTTTCCAAATTTTTTTGTGTTAGTGACTGACTGACAGACTGCCATCATATAGATGAAGCTACCAGACTGACAAAAATTCCAAAATGAAAATCTCAAAGTTTTTGAATCCCGAAAAAAATGGTTCCTGATAAAACATATTATGGTTCTTCGAATGAAGTAACAAAAAAAGCCTTACAAAAAATACTTCGGGTGTCATTACGATCCCAAGCTTGGGTACTTGACCGGACAATTTTTGCTGCTCGTCTATTTATTTAATTGAAATAAGTCCTTTCATGTTACAATCCCCCTCTCAGCATTTAAGACGATTGTCTTAAATGCTGAGGGGGAGAGGTAAAAGTAGGAAAAAGTGGGCATTTAAAAGGTAATTGAAATGGAAAAAGGGCTTGCGGAAAAATTGAGAAGTTTATTTGCTGACACATATTTTTGTCACGTACACAGAAATTAAACGTTCACTGGAAGAAACCTTCACTAATCTATAAAAATCAGCTAATGAAAAAACATCCGCGCAGATCCATGTTGTAACAGTTAAAATTTTTCTTGTGGAACCCAGTGACAAAAAGCAAAATTGGCTGTGGAGTCCACTGACAAACAATGAAATCCAGTCTTAAAAATAACAAATTGACTGCAGAAACCTCTGACAAATGGTGGAGACTAGCGACATTTAAGGGAATCCGCTTCAACGGCCAGAACACGTTTGTTGTCTGCGGAATCCACTGACAACAAATCAGTTGTCGGCATTTTGTGTGAGGATCATTGGATTGATTGTGAAATGAACTGACAAAAGTGTCTAAAACACGCAAAAGATGCAAAAGATGTGTCCGTGGAATCCACATGCGTGAAAGCACGAAAATGTCCATAGTTATAAATTTGAGCTTGGCGTGGTAATAGTTTTTTCTATCAACTCGCATTCTGAACTTGGATGCAAATTTTAGGATTATTTTTCAAACTTTTCTATATGATTTAAATGCTGAATTTTTCTTTGAAACTGAGGAGGAGATTTGTCTTTGGGTGTTTTAAATTTTTGTTTGTTTTCCAAGCACAATCAGGTACCAAAAACAATTATAGGACTGGGTTGAGTGATATATCATATTAAAGCTCTTAGAGTCGTGGTTCGAATAATATTGAAAAATTAAAACAAAAATTCCCTTGTCGAGA